TGAAAAACGACTAAGATATGACAAGCGAAAAAAAAGGGAAAAAAAGCAATTGAAAAGAATGAAATTAATAATACAAATCTCAAATGTGCACCAAAGTGCGATTTCTTTTCTCTTTTTTTGTTGTTGCTATAATAATAAATAATAGTGACAGAAGATATTTTATTAGTAATTGTAATAGCACCATTGTTATTTTTTCCTTCTTCAGAACAGTGAGTGAAGTTTTAAGTCAGTGTATGACTACTCGAAATCAAGCATTCGACTATGCTACATTTTAAATTACAACTTATCAAAAAAAAAAAAAAAAAAAATTGGGGGAAACTGAGTTCGTAATAAGAGCAGATGAAAATAAGTATGTATTTAACAATGTCGACATAGTACATAGTCGGAGAGGTCGCTGATAGAGTGGTGCCCCGTGCTTCAAGATAGACAAGCTAATAGTCGGTAAAACAGTGGAGATCGCCAAAGAGACAGTAATAAATAATCAATAACGTCATTTTACGTATCATTTTATAGTGAATATAGAGCTTAAATTAATACAACAATAAGGAAGCCAAATAGCTTCTTACTTCTACAAACCCTTATTCTTAATCCATTTTGCCCAGGGTAATTTTTCTTTTACTCACGTTGGAACAATGACTCTTATGATGACTGTTTTTCTTTTAAAAATAAGACTGCTTAATTATAGAAAATAATCAGTTTATCTATGACGACTAATCAACCCCTGCGAATAAGGGCCCACTCACATAGTACTTGATAATCAGGGGAGTCATTTTGTTACAAGTGGCAACCTTGCGTTCTTGTATAAAACCCAAATCAACCGATGGCATGATATATACGATTGTTAACTGAGGATTTTTTTCTTTTTGTTTCGAATTCATTTCAGTCCTTTCAAAACTTATTTTAATATTAGGAGATGAGTGGTACATATTTTGTCTAAAACTGTCCAAGCAGAAATTTCAAAATACATTTTAATGTTTGTTCAGTTTTTGAGTAGTGTGTCGGTTGAGAATGTTTTAGCACACCTCATATGCAACTTGTTAATTACATCAACCACTTTAAAGTTTGTTTTCTATCATTAAATAAACTCTCTAACCATAATATATATATATATATATATATATATATATATATATATTGCAGATTGCGAATTGATCTCAATATATAAACAAACGATAAATATATATTAACAAAACAAAGGTAGTCATAGACGATAGAATATTGTTCCGTGTTACAAACAATGAATATGAAAGAAGAAAACATTTAAACTATTGAAAATATTTGTGTAGAAGTGTAACAAACGTGCGTGTTAGACACATGTGTATATATGTGTTATGGTCCAGGTTAGGACCAAGGAAGAACAACACGAACACAAGAGTAGAAATGACGAAGGTATATTACACGAAATAATAATACAAGATGTGGAAGGTGTTAGTATGACTATCAGTTTGGAGTGAACTACTATCGGCTCGACTCGATTCGATGATCTCTCTTGAGAGGCGGAGTATACATAGTGTTCATTCTGTAGTTATAGGTAAGGACCCATGACACCCACCTCCTAAGCTTTTATCTCGTAGGGGTCTTTAATATTTTTTCCTCTTCGGGTTAATCATCAAAAGCTCCGTAAATTTTCTTTTTCTGCTTGATTTCTGCGGTTCTGAAATTGCTTGAGGCCTTTGCATATTGAATGTGTCAAATATTTTGTCCATTACTTCCTCCTCTTCCTGAGGTAGACTGTTAGAATCCTCTAACAGCCTCTTTCTGATCTGATTTAAGTGCCTTTTATGCGAGAACTTCGGACCGTGAATTATGTAAATCACATTTCCGATTCGTTTCTCTATTGTACTTGGCTCCCAATAGGATGTGTTGTTTTTGAACATTTAAAAAAAAAAAAATTCTCCACTGGGCTAAAATTTCTTTTTGGTACAAACGACGTTGGTGATTGCTTTGTCTGTTTTGGCAGTAATTTGTCGAATACCTATCTAATGCCGATGGCGTAGTACAGTTCGGTGTAATTCTATACACTTGCAAGAATTGTTGCAAAGCCTTTTCTGTTGGTACGTCATAAGCTTTTCCTAAGTTACATTTTTTAATGTATCTACAAACCTCTCCGCTTGCCCATTTGACCTTGGGTGATATGGCGGGGATTTGATGTGCTTCACCTGAAAAGTTTCACAAAATTTTGAAAATCCGCAGATGTAAAATGTGTCCCATTATCGGTGACTAAACAATCAATCCTCTCCGAAACGAGCAAACAGCTCGTGAAGGCAATTTATTGTCGTTTCAGAAGTAGGTTTTCTACAACGAAATACTTCTGGCCATTTTCTGTAACTGTCTACTACAATCAAGTAGTAGAAACCCTCTAATGGACCTGCAAAATCTACATGGATTCTCGACCACGGTCGATCTGTCTTAGGCCATGGCTTATGAGTGATCGGAGGTGCCTTGGCTGCTAAGGAACAGCCCTTGCATTTGTCCACCATATGTATAATATCTTGATCCATGTTAGCCAGTACACATAACATCGCATTAAGGATTTCATCCTGTTCTTTCCTGGGTGGCCCATATGAAAATCCTTGAGGATTCGCCTTTGTAGTGTTTTCGGGATTACATAACGAAAACCTGTCTGATATATGCTTATCTTTTCCTGCAATTTTTGTTTTCGTTTCCTTTATAAATTCGTCATTCACTGCTTCGTTTCTTATTTCCTGTCATGTGACGGGTTAGGGGAGGTTTCGAATTGTACTACATAATGATGTTCTAATATCTTCCTCATATCGTAGAGCTGCAATTACGGAATCTTCTAATGGCTCCGTTTTCTTTGGTATTAGTCTCGAAAGACCGTCTGCATGCCCGATTTTGTTTGATGGAAGATACTCCAATTCTAGCATCAATCTTACTCCTTTAGCGTTTTCCTCTCCGATTGCATATATAATCATGTGATTGTCACTGTGATTGTTTGGCTACCTAGTTTCACATACACCTAAGATATTGATATTTATCCAACTCATCTCCTGTTTTAGATATTTCTAACTAGTTACAATTGTTCAACATCCTAAAGTTCCATGTCCCGATAGTTATTTTGTTTGATGCGAGCTGTCGCTGGATGACTGTCCGATGACACCTATCACTTATGTCTCTCATTTCCGGACGAGGGAGTTTCCAAGAAATTTTATTCCCTTTATGATAGCAGTCATTGGATCACGGTCAGGTGACACCTGTTGCACATGTCGGTCCTTACCGGGCGAGGAGTTAATTACCATAGAATTAACCCCCTTCACGTCGTTAGGTTTCCTAATGTGTATGTTATTTGACATGATATTTCTTGGGGTTAATAATGGAGTGGATTTAAGTTGCCTTCGCCACGTCGGTTTATGGAGACACCTTACCCAATATATATATATATATATATATATATATATATATATAGAATTCTAGAAAGAAAATTCGGATTGCCAACACACAAACAGAATGTCTCATATCGAGAATATTCCACATTGAACATGAAGAAAAATTAATTATTTTTAATAATATGTAAAAATCTCCACTTTCACCTGAAGACGGTTGCGAGACCAGACCAGAAACACGTGTCGTGAAATTATGTAAAACAAAGTATAATATTTTTTCTCAATAAATCCACATTACAACTAAAAAAACGTTTGCGGCACCCCTCTTCTTTTTAATATATAAATATATATATATATATATATGTGTGTGTGCTTGTATACACACACACACACACACACACACACACACACACACACACACACACACACACACACACACACACACATATATATATATATATATATATATACGCGTATGTACAGCGATATCCACCTCCCAATGTATTTGCGAGCAAAAGATTTTGGGGTCAGAGTTAGTAAAGAGGCAGAAGATTGGTAATGTGGGTGAAGAGAATAAAACGATTAAGTTTTAACTTAGTATGAGTCCGATCACCCACTATTAAAACAATACGCGATTAAAATTAACACATTAAGCTAACTGGTCCGAAAAAAAAAAATTACAAACAATATCGTGGAAAAATTACAAACAATATCGTGGAAAAATTATTTCTTATTCTTACAATTGAAATTTCACATTAGTCTTGCTAAACTCGAATCAGTGGTCATTTAGTAAAAGTTTAGGGTGACTCTATAAATTTCAGAAACCAAATGCGATGTGTTGCATGGGATAGTGAGAGGTGGAGAGTCCAAGCAAAGCCGATGTCACTTGGTAGGTGCCAGGATGCACAACCCTCTTTAAAAAACCTCGAAAATGACAACATCATGATTCATTTTTTTTTTTTAATTTGTGATTTTGCTCTTTACATGAGGTCTAATCACAAATTTTGTAACTAAGTTATTTTTTTGCTGGGGAGTCAGTTTTTCGTATCCGCGTGCATGGGATGGTAGGTAGAGGGTGGTTGAATTTTTTTTTCTTCACTGGCTCTCGGAATGTGAGTCCAGGTAATAAATAACAATGTAACAACAACACACACACACACACACACACACACACACACACACACACACACACACACACACACATATATATATATATATATATATAAACAAACGATAAGTATGTATTAACAAATAAAGGTATACATATAAAATAGAATATTGTCTCGTGTTACAAAACAATAAATATAAAAGAAAAAAACACTTAAATTAGTAAAGGTGTTAGTGTAGAAGTGTAAAAAGCATGTGTGATAGGCATATGTATATATATATATATGTATGTGTGTGTGAGAGACTTCAAAAGTCAACATGGGACCAAGGGAAGAGAACGCGCCTCGGCGGCAGCGTTCTTAGTTAAAAAAAACGTTAAAGAAAAAAACGGAGAGAGAGAGAGAGAGAGAGAGAGAGAATGTCACTCTTTATTTAAAGGCTTAAGGAGCCTCCCCTGGCGGCAGTGTTTTAGGAAAGTGGGGTAACTCTACACAGTAAATATGAAATCAACTTAAGAAATCTGAATTTTTACCTGACCTTGTTATCGTTTCAAATACCACATAGGCGAGACGGCGTGACATTTAGCAGAATAAACTCAGAGAGAGAGAGAGAGAAAGAGAGAAAGAGAGAAAGAGAGAAAGAGAGAGAGAGAGAGTCTGTTTGCATTATTAAGAATATTAGAAAAGATAACGTCATAGTCTTTCTGAAATAATCTGAATATTCAATAATTATCTTTTATCTTTTGTATTTTAATCTTTAGCGTTTAAGTTTATGCAAAACAGTAACAACTATAAGTAGAAACTTTCTGCTTTAATGCTGAAAAACGTTTATTTTATTGTGATGGATGGTTACAAGCAAGAGAGGAGCTGGGATGTGCTTATTTTATTGCCGCCGTTTAATTCATAATATAATTTTACAAATCATATGAAAAGCTTTAACAACAATCTAATTTGAAAAAAATACGAATATCTTTTACTTTAAAGGTTAAGATATTTCTTTCATTTTGAAAAAAATGTACAGAAAAATTTTGAAATCAGTCAGATTCAAAGCCAAAACATGGTTTTTCTTTCATCAGACGGTTCAGCAATAAAATGTTAAACGTAGCGGATACGCTTTTCGAGTCGATTACCATTTAAACACGAGAATCTCAACACTAACTGGAGGAGAACAGTAGTAAATTATCTTCGATTGTAAACGTCATCTAAAACACCTTTCGCCAGAATATTTAAGATCGCTAACACTTATTGTAAGATTGTCTAATAGTTTTCAAAGAATTTTTGAGAGAACTAATATTTTATTGTGTTATACCTGAGTTGGTTCTTTCTTTATCCCAATTTTAAAAGTATTTTCAAGTCAATTTTTCCTTCTGAAATTCCTTCACATATTTTGTCTATATTTGGCTCATTAGAGCGGCAACTTATCAGTTACTGCAACTTATTAATACTACCATATTTTCGTGACTTCTTTTTAGTCTCATGTGAAATGAAATGAGAAATGCATTAATGTTCTCATCGTTGTGGAGAGTGTTTAAAGCGATATATTTTTTCCTCTATAACTGTCACTATAAAATCATAATACACATAGTACTGATCTCTTATTTAAAACTTTGGAAGTTTCAATAATTATAATAATTAAAAATATTCATGACTTGAAATATATATATATATATATATATATATATATATATATATATATATATATAAAATCAGGAGATTATTTAATTACGCTGTACCTTGGTTTCAACCTTTCGATATGCTCAGGATATATCGATATATTGAAACTAAGGTAGCGTGATTGGTTGATTTGATTTTTGAAATTTAAAAGCTCTGCTGGTTAAATTTTTATTTTCTTTATCTTTTAGTACAATAGTTTCTTGGTCTAAATTTAACTCCGACAAATAACTGTTTTATAATTATATATATATATATATATATATATATATATATATATATATATATATATATATATATGTAAATATCTGTACCCAGAGAAGGACACAGATGTAAACAAAACTGGCGTCATTTTATGTATGTTTAAGGATTCCATTCCAGTCAACACTTTTTCAAAAGATGGACATTGGCGCATGAACTTATTGGCTCGCTCTGCTCACCATCTACGAGTTCTCGAAGCTAGATATATTAAATTATATCAGCTGAACCTATCTAGACATAGTTCCGTGTGTTTGTTTTGGAGGTCTATGAGTAAGCCTTTTCTATTTTATACTCTTTTGGAACCCTTTAATATCTTTTTTTATTTCGTTAAAAATTTACAATTAAAATTTGTTTTAATCGTGTTCCAATTTCTCCTCATTTGCTATTTTTGTGAATTCTTTCTTGAGTTTGTTTAATTGTGCCAATGTCCGCCTTTTGAAAAAGTGTTGGATGAAAGGGAATCTTTAAATGTACCTAAAATGACTTTGCCACAGAAATCAACACCGCATAGAGACTTTCATGTTTTAAGCTTTCAGCTGACAATGTGTTACTACTGTTTCAGTGGGCTTGTAGTGAATCTCGCTAAAAATAAAATTAGATAAAATATAAAAATAAAATATATAAACGAAAATAAAAAGAATTAAAATAAGACATTTACGTTTTCCTTTAAAACCATTATCTCTTTCTTTCTTTCTTTCTCTCTCTCTCTCACGCTCTCTCTCTAAATTTCTGTCTGAGCAATCGTCAGGCCATGTCCTGAAGATTACGTTTAAGCATGAAACGGGATGTCGCCGCTGGATGTTTACCTCAGTCCAGTGACTTTATTTATGGCGTGCATTTTGTGGGACTATATAAGAATGGGCGCTAGTTGGGTTGTCATTTAGATAAGGTGAATGGGAAAAGTCTGTTATATTTTTAATCAAATACTTTTTTGTTCCAGGGTACATAAACTTCCTGATTGAGCAACGCTGATTGATTTGCTGAAAGACCTCTAAATATTCATTCTTAACCATAATATCCCATAAAAGTGCTCCTACCACTAAAAGCAACAAGGTGATCTAGACGAAGAATTTCATAAGATTTCAGGAATCACATAAGAAAAAGGGAACTGTTCCACTAGAAGAACAATACCACTCAAAATCCAAATTGTTGGTCGCTATCTGTTCCTTGGAGAATCCATCAAAGGAAGGAAAGAACATATAAAGGAAATCGCTAAAGAAGTAACAAATTTATGGCAAAAGAAATTAAATTTTCAAAATTTATCAACTCAAGTCACACAAGCAAAACTGGACCAAGTGTTAAACACCTACGATGAATGTGTGAAACGAGAAAAATATGATCATTGAATGAAATTTTTGACATCACAAAAGAAAATGTTGAGTGGTATTTACAAATCCACTATTAAAGAAGCTGTTAAAGAAGAAATGAAGAAAACATTACACTTAGAAAACTTGTCGTTGCATTTTGATGGTAAATGAATTGATAGTCAAGATTATCAAGTTCTTGAATTGAAGAATGAAAGAAGAGAAGTTAGAGGCATTACATCTATCAAACGGAAAAACGGATACCATTTATGGAAGAACATAAAGATAATTGTTGCGGACACTACGAATGGGATTGTAATTCAGGTACAAAGACATTTTGTTCAAAGGAAAGTGGAAGAATTACAATTCGTTGACTGTCAACATAATGTTCTTAATGTTCTCCTAGTACTTCGCGTAGTAATGGATGACGAACCAGTATTAAATATTGGTTTAACCTTAAATTGTAAATAACTACGAACAGTTTAAGAAGGATTTCAAGAATGGTAGAGATTACTTAAACAGCAGCATGGTGTGATTACATGAAATTTCTATTTCATTTAACTCAAATTTTCAGCTTTTTCAGAAAAGCTATAGGATTTCCTAAAGTGAAGTTTCAGAAAATACCTTGTAGTGAGTCACGATAAAAATAAAATATATAAACAAAAATAAAAATAATTCAAATTAAAACAAGGCATTTGCGTTTTCCTTTAAAACCATTATCTCTTTCTTTCTCTCTCTTTAAATTTCTCTTTCTATACTTCTTTCTCAGCTAACGAGAAGGCAAGAGAGAAAAAAGAAGAAAAGACTAAAAATGCCGGACGAAAAAATGCCGAATGTTTGCAGGACACGAACCTATTACTGTATGACTGAAAACTAAAAAGAAATCAGGGAGGCTCCACGCATAACTTGAGTTATAGAAAAAAATGAAAAAGAAAGTATGCAGAAAAATAAAATAATTTGGACCAATGAAAAAATTGGCACAAAGAGATTTTTGATGTTAGCCAAAACCAAAGTTCCCATTAGAGTCTCGGAGTCTGGTAAAAAGAATATAATCTGACACCTCTGAGCCAAAAGCAGAAGAAGGGACGGAAGAGTAACGACAAAAACACTACCGCAGAGAAACCAGGCATGTGTAGTGTGTGAAGAAGTAGTTAAAAGATCATCAGTTAATGATATTTCTGCCCTGCTTAGGTCCGGTAAAAATACAGTAGATTGACACTGACTTATTTGTAATATTACTACTACCTTTCGCACGGTGTGACTTCAAAACTACACTAGTGAACTTTTTCCAGGCTACTACCAATATCCACCTTATAAACGAACATTTTGCTACACCGAATACCAAAGGACTCACTCTAAAGAAAATAAAAAAAATATGTATTATTTATTTTATACTCTTAAATCAGTTTGTTTTATTCCAAAGTTTCCAGTAAAGAAAGTCCTACCACCTATCTACAACCTAACTTTAGAAATGCAAGATGGAATTCGAAAGCAATACTAGCTCTTTTGGCATTTATACTTCCATCAGAGTAATGTGACTCGCTACTCGAAATTCATAGATCCATCTCTTACAGATGGACGGATCTTTGGTTTACTGACCAAATATACAATGCAGGTGATTATCAGAAGCTATGTAGCAGCTTACAGCTTCACAAAAAAGCATTAAACTCTGTGGGAATGTTTTAGAATTCAGAACCATCAAGATTAAAATTTGCCAGAATGAATCAGTGTGCAGAACGGGCAATCAAGTACCTTCAAGATCTTTATGACGTCTGTAAAAAGTAGGATAAAGTTCAGCTTAAACTTATATTATCTAAAAAGGGCAATAATTGTATATCATGATATATTTATGCTAAATATTTCACATTCTTTTTCTTGCTATTGTTATTTATAGATGTAAGTTTCTAATTGTATATATAATTTTGCAAATTTTATTTATTTATGTTTGTATGTTATGCTATAGCTATAAACTGTTAAATGCGTTTAAATAATATGTATATTTAATTACACCATTAGCAAATAGAAAAGCTGAAATATTTTAATTTTTACCCTCATTGCATATATGATAAACTGAATTTTCGGTTTGGGGTGATGTTTTTAAGAATTAAAACAAATTAATTCCTTTTTTTCTACTTTATGATAGACGAACATAGGGTTACAAAAATGGCATAACCTTTATTATATATATATATATATATATATATATATATATATATATATATATATATATATATATTTCAAGATCTATCGAATACACACGCCTATAGACAATGAACTCTGTTTAAAACAAAAATAAAAAATGGGACATCTATTACAAATATGTATCTACTATTATAACGTTTGAAGAAATATATATTTAAAAATTATTATCCTTGTTCATTACCGCACGATGCGACTCGTCTCGTTTCATACTCGAAGGAA